ATTTCTGTGTATGTCATGTTAGGATAAAGGTTGGGGCCTTCTACCTGAAATCCCAGCAGCTCAGGAGGCTGAGGCAGGAGGATCACAAGTTCAAAACAAGTCTCAGCAACTTGATAAGGCACTTAGCAACTCAGCAAGACTCTGTTTCTAAATAACATATTAAAAAAGGGCTGGGGATGTGGCTCAGTGGTTAAGTCCCCCTAAGTACAAAAAAAAAAAAAAAAAAAGGTTGGACAATTTTCCACTAGACTGTGAGTCCCTTTACCTGCAAGATCTATGCCTTATTCATGTTTCATGTGCCTAGCACCATGACTGACTTGTAGTTAGTGACTGAAATCCTTGCAGAGGAGAATGGTTCTACTAAGGGTGGCAAAAAAAATCTGGGGAATCAAAGACAACAGTACCATATATGTGGTCCCTGGTTCTTTTCCCATATTTTACAAACTGAATAAGTGGTTTCCAAGATCTCAGAGCCCTCAGGTTCTTTGGATGGATTCAGAGGCTGCCTGGGAAAAGGAGGAGGTCCCATTATGTTCTCCCATCCCCACTAATACCAGAGCAGTATTCTGTTTATTTGCAGTACTGGGCATTGAACCCAAAGGCATTCTACCACATCCCCAGCCAGTTTATATTTGATTTTTTTTTAGATGTTAATGGACCTTTATTTTATTCATTTATTTATATGCAGTGCTGAGAATCAAACCCAGTGCCTCACACATGCTAGGGAAGCACTCTACCACGAGACACAACCCCAGCCCCTTGTATTTCATTTTGAGACAAGGTCTCATTAAGTAGCCCAGGCTAGTCTCAAATTTATGATCCTCCTGCCTCAGCCTACAGAGTAACTAGGATTACAGGGAGTGTACTGCTACACTCAGCTAACTTTTATTCATTTGATGTATTAGACTTCAAATAAGAGTTTAATAAGGTAAAGTTTGAATGCTTTTTTTTTTTAAAAAAAAAAAAAGGGCAAAAATCATTGCAACAGAAAGCAAACACTTTACAGCATATTAAGTTCATGTCGAAGTTTAAACATTCATGTCTAACACTTGTGCATAAGTTAATAAAGGAAGTGTTATGCCAGGCTCTCACAAGTAAGAGCTAGAAAATACCATGAGACCTGCCATTTCATCTTTCTTCAGGAATATGGCAATAATAGCAGATCCCTGAAATCTTGAGCCATTTCCTTTCTAGTCCATAAGGTGTGGCAGATTCTCTGCAGAAGTCCATGGCAAAAGCCCTAACACAAAGAATTTACCTCAGTCAATTCTTTCCCAGCCTACAATACAAAGCCTTTACACTTGTGGGACTCTTTCTAAATGTTTCTCAAGTCTTTAAATTATCAAAAAGCTTTATTAGGGGGTGGGGTTGTAGCTCAATGGCAAAGCGCTTGCTTGTGTGAGGCACTGGATTTGATTTTCAGCACCATATATAAATAAATAAAATAAAGATCCATTGATAACTAAAAAAATTATTTTTAAAAAAAAGGCCTTATTAGCACTTCACCTATATTTACCACAGATGCTGGAGTGATTGGTATGATAAAAGAGAATTACACAGATATCACAATCTCTATAGATGTTAAGACAATATATCATGAAAGAGATACTCAGAGGCAGACATTTTAAAAAGGTATGACTAAATGAAAAGAGTGACCCAGGAAATGGAGGATCCTGAAATACTGATTGAAACTTAAAACAAAGGGACCAAGGAATCTAAACCTCTGATGAAGACCAATCAGGATGTTCAACCATTACCTCAGAGTCATGTTGACTTTTCTAACAAACATTATTAAGCTCCCACATCCTCACTCTACATCCAAGTTGATGGTACAGGGCCCCTGTTCTGCTTCAGCTTCACCTCCCACTCAGGCAGCAGGAGCTGCCTCTATGAGGCTGATGCTGAAAAAAGATTTCACTGCTCATAGCTACAACCAGCATAAAAAGTCATGGTAACAATCATCCCTTTACACAGGCACCTCAGGTGCCAAGATGTTCTTTTGTAAACCTCTTCTCCTTTAAGGTAGCCTGGAGTGATCACGTTATTATTACTATTATGATGATCAATTATTCATAGCAGCTAAGGTTTTGGTGCTTCATACAATACTAAGTGCTTTACATTTTTCATCACATTTAATTTTCATGACAACCATAGGTACTACCACTGTCTTCTTTACAGATAAGGAAAATAAATCTAGGGGAGGACAGGTGCTTTTTAACAAAAATACGCAACTTATAAAGAGCAGAGGCAGAATATCAACTCAATTTTATCTAATTCCAAGGCCCACTTTTTAAAAAAAATTTTTTTTTGTAGTTGTAAATGGACAGCATGTCTTTATTTTGTTTATTTTTATGTGGTGCTGAGGATCAAACCCAGTGCCTCACATGTGCTAGGCTAGCACTCTGCCACTGAGCTACAGCCCCAGCTCCCAAGGCCCACTCTTGATTACTACACTATTCTGCCTTAAATTTACCTGAAAGTGAAAAGATGAGAGCCAAAAACAGTTTTGGGTTTTGAGTTTGTTTGTTTGTTTTTGGCGGGGGGTCGGGGGAGACTGGTACTGGAGATTGAATTCAAAGGCACTTTACCACTGACTAAATCTCCAGTCCTTTTTTTTTTTTTTTTTAAATCTGAGATAGGGTCTAAGTTGCTGAAGGCCTCACTAAACTGCTGAGGCTGGCCTTGAACTCATGATCCTCCTGTCCCTGCCTCAGTCACTGGAAGTAGCTGGGATTATGGGTATGTGTTACCTTGCTTGGCTAGTGATACATTCTGACTTCTTCTCAGCATCTAAATTATATGGGAAAGCAGATTCCAAAATTTCCCTCAGTTACATACTCAGTTTTAACAAAACTGGTATTAAAGAAGTTTCTCCTTTTAACCAATAAATCTCACCCTTTGTCCTTTAAGTCTATTTCCTTTTATTTTAAGTCTAGTGGAAAAGAGAGAAGGGAATATGAACACATACTTTATGACCTTTTGTGAATTTAAGATTTCACTTTCATTCTTTCTAGACTGCTGTCTGCTTTCCTTTATACTTTATATTCAGTGTATCAGCAGGTATCATTCACTGGTACCAATTCTGTGCCAGGTACCACATACATACATTGGCCTCTCCTCTCCAGGATCCCAATTAACAGACAACAACACTTTGAAGGACTTAGGTATGATGGAGAGATGCCTTCTGTCCACAATGGGAAAGCAGAAAATTTGAAATTTCAGATAAATAGTGACTTTATATTCTAATAATATTTTTGGTGGGGGAGATCTTAATTTCCATTATCTATGCCTGTTTTGTTCCTCTTAAGAAGGTAGAAAGACCAAGTCTTTTGCTCTGCTATCTTCAAGCACTTTCAATGACAGTCTAGCCATCTCCCTCCTTTCCTTAAACTGTAGTTAGAAACCTTATTGAGCCAGATGTGGTGGCACATGACTATAACCCAAACTTCTCCCAACTACTAGGAAGGCTGAGGCAGGAGGATAGCAAGTTTGAGGTCAGCCTGAGCAACTCAGTGAGACCCTGTCTCAAAATTAAAAATAAAAGGAGATGGAGGTGTAGCTCAGTGGCAAAGCACCCAAACACCCCTTGGTTCAGACCCCAGTGCTACTTAAAAAAAAAAAAAAAAAAAAAGAACTTTTAAAGACAGGCTATTCAAACTCAGGTCAAATGTGCAACGACCAATCCTCTGGCCAGTTCCAGTCATAACAGGGCCCCAACAACAGGCCTAAGATAAAATGGAAGGACAGACTGTCTATATTTGCCTGATTAGGGACAGGGAAGGAGGTATAAGGAGTCTAGATTCTCTCCTGTTGCACTGACCCAAGCAATCAGACTCCTGCAGCAGTCGTCCTCTCAATAAAACTTTTATGCCATAGACCAGGGATGACCCAATCCAACAGCAGCAGAGAGGTTTTACATTACACTTCTCCCTCACCCTGATGACCTCACTATTTCTTCTTACTCCTGACCACATACCACACTCCTCCACCTCCATCACCACATTCCTCCTGGCATGGTCAAATGCAGACCGGCAGTAATACAACCCAGAAGGAAAGGAATTCCCCCCAAAGAAGAGTTACCACTCAGCTAATCAAGTGGCCCGTTTTAACAGGGAACTTCACCTCCCCACCACCCCCTCCTTCACTCAAACGATTGTCGTAAGCAATGGCTCCATTTTCTGTTCCGGGAATCTTGGTACTTCCTAAAGAAAGAAAACGGATTGGAAGACACAAACTCTGGGCCAGTGACAATATTCTCCCTCCTCCTGTGTGACCACCCCCGCCACGCCTGGGGGAAGAAGGCCCCACCTCTCTTCTCCAAGCAAGCTTGGATCCCCCTCCCCCTTCTAAAGCCTCCTCTCTATCCTCTCCCCACCTGCTGCCCTCTTCCCAACCTTCTGTTCCCAAGAACCGAACATGCAACCTCCACCAGAATAGTGCCCCTGGGGTGTCTCACCAGCCTGCCCAGTTGCTAACCTCAAGACCTCCTGTGTACCCTTGCCCCATGATGCGGGGGATGGGGGGTGTAACGCCAAAAAGGCTTTTCTCCAGTCTCCTATAGCTAAGGTGGGGGAGGGAGAGGGAGAGAACAGCATTCCCTAGTCCTTTAACAGGAAAAAAATAAAGAAAGAAAGATGCTAACAGCTACACCGCCCCCGCATCATCTCTCTTTTGGACGGCTTTCCTCCCCCTCAACCCCCACCCCTTGAAAGCCCACCACCTGCAGGCTAGGAAAACCTAACTGCAGCCCAGGTTGCCCCCTTGTGCGAGGCGGAGGACAAATTCGGTGTGCCCCCCCACCCCCATCCCAGCTTCGCGTCCTTCAAATGCGGGGGCAGGCGTGGGGCTGGCCCGACGCCCTTCTCTGAGCTCTGGGATGAGAAGAGCTACACCGCTCCATGTCAGGCAGTGCCGGGTGGAGCCGCTCTATCTCCTCAGCCCCCAACCTGACCGAACCTCTTCCCTCTAAGGGGACCCGCCTTCCCTCCCCAGCCCCTCACCTGTTCCAGCTCCCAGCTCTGCCGCTGCTACCACCGCCTCCGCCCCCGCAGGTTCCGCTCGGCTCTCGCTCTCTTTCCTCCGGCTCCCCAAGCCGACTTCAGCGCCGCTGCTCTCCTGGCCCGCTCCCCAGCTCCCTCCTTCCTTCCCTCCACCTAGCACCGGAAGCCGCGACCGCGACAGGAGCTGTGCGGCGCACCCCCACCCCCAGCCCAGGATACTTCCCACCTCCACGATCGCGCGATAGCTGCACGGTACCAAGCGGCAGTTCTCGCGAGACCCATCACCATGGCAGCGGCTGCAGCAGAAGCAGCCCAGCGCTGGAGCTTGAATCTAGGCGGGGGCTGGTGTGGGGGCTGGAGGCTGCAGGCGGCGGAGGCGGGAGCCTGGAGCCTGGGAATGGGCATGCGACAATGGGGACTGAGGTGAGACCCCCTCACGCCCCAGAGCCATGCCTAGAATTTAAGGACTGAGGTCACTTGCTGATTGCACTGGAGACAGGTTGAGCCAAGAGGTACAGGGGCACCTTGGGCAAAGCTATAAACGGAATATGGGTGAACAGTCTTTGCTGCGGCCTGCTTTACTGTGTCAGACTGCTTTATTTCTTATCCTGGGCTACCTGCATACCCCTGACAGCTGCACCATTTTTGCTACTCACTATTCCTAAGACTATATACAGCAAGACCTGAATCAAGAGATCCTTTCCCACAAGGAAGAGGAGGAGAGAGGAATTAATTCAAGAGACTAAAGGAAAAAAACTGGATTCTAGGTCATTTAGGAAGCTGGAACTTGAAAGACAAAAGATTGAAGCCTAATATTCAGAGTTGTTGTCTGGAGAAATATATCTAGATGAATGTGGGTTTTAGCATCATGAGGAAAAGTGAAGGTCTTTACACCCATGTTTCTCACTTCCTACCCATTCCCACTTCTCTCACACTTATTTTTGCACCTGTTCCACACATGCAGAGGTGCCTTGGAACAGTCACAGCTGTGACAGAAGCTGTGCTAGAAGGGCACTAATAATGCTAAGAACAGAAAGTTCTTTAGTTTCCCTCTCATTTACAGCAGTGTAAGGGAACACATGCCTCATCCTTCAAGCATGAGCCAAAATTTTTGTTCTGAACTTTATGCCTTGTTTCTTGTCTTCATCTAAGAAGGCCTAGACTAGTAGATAGCCTAATTATGTCTATCCCCTTGACCCCATCAGGCCCTGGTTTATGCACTCACTAGACCCTTCTTTTCCCAGAGTCTTGTTTTCCCAAAGAATAACATGACCCTGGAATGTGAAGCCAAGAAGACCCTAATTTAAAATGGTGAGAGATGAGATAGATAACAAGGATAATATCTGTCCTGGCCCATTCCTATTAAGAGTCTTTTCCCTACTAGGTTCTGTGTTTATAAAGGCAAAAGACTTCTCCAATGTTATTACACACTACTAGAGTAGGTCTTATAATATCTTTATATATCACCCTTTCTAGAAATGGACATAGTTACTTTTTTGTTGTTTTTTTTAAGAGAGAGAGAGAAAGAATTTTTAATATTTATTTTTCAGTTTTCAGCGGACACAACATCTTTGTTGGTATGTGGTGCTGAGGATCGAACCTGAGCCGCATGCATGCCAGGCAAACGCGGTACCGCTTGAGCCACATCCCCAGCCCTGGACATAGTTACTGTAACAAAAATTTCTAGCAACACCTCTCACCAGGTCATACCCCCATACTAAAACTACCAAAATAATGCTCTACTACAACCTCTTCCCTGGTGCTCTAACCAGACCAACATACCTTGTAAGAGTCTGATAAGGAAATGGAAACCGTTAATGGATGTCTGCCCAAGACTTCAAATAATCTCAAAATCACATCCCAGGTATGACAGGGTGAAAATGGTGACAACCTAATATAGTTATCAGCAAGTGTCATGATATTTGACTCAGGACTAATGAATAGGACTAGAGACTCTCATAGCTCATCTATCCATCACCCCTCTGGAGTAAGAAGAAGAAAATGTCTGTTGTAGCATAAGAGGGGGCCACCCAAGAAACAAACAGGAACAAAGATATGAGTGCTGCCTAGTTGGCAGTTAGCTGACCACTGCTGCACCCAGTTTTTCAGCCACCTGATAAAGGGTAAAGAAAGAGCTCATCCATGGGCTGGGGATGTGGCTCAAGCGGTAGCGCGTTCGCCTGGCGTTTGTGTGGCGCAGGTTCTTCCATCCTCAGCACCACATACAAACAAAGGTGTGTCTGCTGAAAACTAAAAAAAAATAAATAAATATTAAAAATTCTCTCTCTCTCTTTAAAAAAAAAAAAGAAAAAAGGAAGAGCTCATCCAAAGCTGAAGGAAACCCAGAAGACTTACAAGTTCATCAGTCTTTTTCCTCCTCTCTCTGGAGCCTAGTAAAAGCTGAAATTGTAGGCACCAGCTGTATGGGTTACATATTCCCACTCCATCTCTGACTCCAGGCCTGGGCTGAGCCCAGCAAATGTGCTAGAAATGGAGCAGGGAAGTGTAGGCCTTGCTGACAAAATCCATTTGAAATTTGTCAAGGTTGTGATTTGGGGCTTATGTTTGTCATAGAGTGTATCTGATGAAAGAAGAGGGAAAGTTAGAAAAGGAGCCAAAGGGACTACACAAAAAGGAAAAAGCTGACGTATTCTTGCTACAACTCCATTGGAAATTCTCCTTCTTCTTGCTATATGTGAGAAATTCCCATTCTGGATATTCTTTATCATTATTCTCTCTATATCCTAGGCCCACTCTAGCCACCTTCCTTCCCTGCCACCACCCCCAGTACTTACAAAAAATGCCTAGAGTAGGTATAATTCCTGGAACCTTGGAACTACCAAATCCAGAATTTTCATGCTCAAATTAAAATTCAGGACATAAAAATTGCCATAGGGTTGACGATCTCAGTGATAGAATGCTTGCCTTGCGTGCATGAGGCTCTGGGTTCAATCCTGAGAACCACAAAAAAAGATAGAGAAAAGAAAAGATAAGCTGGGCAGGTACCATGGCACAGGCCTGTAATCTCAGTGGATTGGAAGGCTAAAGCAAGAGGATCGCAAGTTTGAGGCCAGCCTTAGCAATTTACTAAGACTCTGTCTTAAAATTAAAAAAATAAGCCAGATGTGGTGGTGCAAGCCTATAGTCCCAGCTGCTCAGAAGGCTGAGGCAGGAGAATCACAAGTTCAAAGCCAGCCTCAGTTACTTAGCAAGGCCCTAAGCAATTTAGCAAGATCCTGCCTCAAAATAAATAAAAGGGCTGGGATGTGGCTCAGTCATTAAGTGCCCTTGAGTTCAATCCCTGGTACCAAAAAAAAAAAAAAAATTATAACTTTATTTTTATTTGTTTATTTTTATGTGGTGCTAAGGATCCAACCCAGGGCCTCACACGTGCAAGGCAAGTGCTGTACCACTGAACTACAACCCCAGCTCCCCCCAAAAAATATTTTTTTAATTAATAAATAAAAAGGGCTGGGAATGAAGCTTGGTGGTAAAGTGCCTCTGGATTAAATCCCCAGTATCTCCCCCAAACAAAAAATTTTTTTAAGAAAGAAAAGGAGGGGCTGGGGTTGTGACTCAGTGGTAGAGCAATTGCCTAGCATGTGTGAGGCACTGGGTCTGAACCTCAGCACCACATAAAAATAAATAAATAAAATTATAAAATATATATATTTTAAGAAAGAAAGAAAAGGAAAAAAAAGTTGTCATAAATTACTGCCCTATCTCAACACTTCTCAAAATTTCCTAGCTACCCCAGTACTACTCTCATTTCACCTGATTTGAGGGTCATTTGGGTTGCAGAAATATCTATTGCTTAGAGAAGTGGAAAGAACTATTTCTACATTCCCTTGCAAAGGACATGACTTGTTAGTCATTTGTAAAATTCTAAATATGTAATGCATATCCCTTTTTAGCACTGAATCATGGGAATATAAGTTTATTTTCAAATATATTGGACTACACATTCCCTGGTCATATAGTAGTTAGGATTTGGCCTCTCAAAGGTATTAGGCTGGAAAAAGAGAGGTTGGAACCAAATAATAATAATAGAATTATTTTACAAAGATTAAATGCAAAAGAATTCTGAAAAAAAGGACAAGCCTGATAGGGTAATTTAAAACCTGTAGCCCCAGCAACTCAAGAAACTGAAGCAAAAGGATTACAAGTTCTAGGCCTGCCTCAATAGTTTGTGAGATTTTGCTACACAATAAAAAATTAAAAGGGAGGGGAGATGTAGCTCAGTGAGAAAGTACCCCTGGTTCAACCTCTACCCCACCCCAACCCACACACACCAAAAAAAAAAAAAAAAGGACAAAAATACATAGGCAGTAAACTCAATGGGAGAGCATACTGGTTTTGCTGGCTTGGATTCGGACGAACAACTCATTTTGACATAGGAATCCCTTTTCTATGCTTCCTGTCAGTCTTACATCTATCTCCCAAATTCTCTGGTTTGGAGACTAAGAGGGAAAGACCTGCTCTTTTGGGTTCACATTCAATGCTGAAATACCTTTAAGAATTTAAAACGCCAAAGAAAAACTCATAATACAAGTAGAGGTCATCAAAGTACAGCCAGAGGACCAAATCAGTCCTGCAGCCCAATTTTGTGAATTAAGTTTTATTGAACTTAGTCATGCCCATTCATTTATATTTGATCTATGGCTACTTTTTGCTCCATAAGAGCAGAATTGAATAATTGAGACAAAGATTACAATGTAGATAGCCCAATATGTTTACTATCTTGCCTTTTATAGGGAAAAAAATGCCAAACTTGTTTTAGGCAGTGATCAAGATAACATCTGAAGTTGAGGTACACAAATACTAAACAGGGTCTACATTTGGATCTCTAATGCCACCTAGAAATAAACCCTAGCCCTGATTTCACAAAGCAAAGGATGCCAACTAAGTTACTGAGGATGATTTCAAATCCTTTGTAGAACTCAATAGGATGTGTGTAAATAAAGTCATTGAGTATAGGAGGGTAGGAGAAATCACCTAGAAAAGAAACTATGGAATAGGATCCCCCAACTTTGGCTAAATATATCACCATGTACATCCACCAGTTCAGTAACTTAATTTATTTTAGTTTCAAACTGGAACCAAGAACAAGTCTCAGTACAATAAATTATCCATTCCCATCCCTCCTGCTAAAGAAGAAAAAACAGGCTCCAAGAATCTTAGGTAAACCCTTCCTTTGGCAGG